GTGCCTTTAGGACCCAGGCATGAACAAACATCAATCACTCCACACAGTCCTCCCCACAGCAACTTGGAGGAAATATTGTGCTAAGTGAAATAAGTCAGGCGGAGAAAGACAAGTACCGTATGATTTCGCTTATAGGTGGAATCTAAGTGAACAAACAAAACAGAAACAGACTCATAGATACAAAGAACAGACAAAGTTGCCAGAGGGGAGGGGGGCTGGTTGAAAAACTATGGGGATTGCAGATTGACCCTGTAACCAAGGCAGGTGCCCTTGATCAAACCGCAGGCTAACACTCTATCAACTAAGCCAAACCAGCTAGGGCTCTCTGTACTTTTTAAAAATGTGAAGTGATGTATGTGCCTCACATTATATTGCGTTGTACAGTGCTCCCTCTGCCCTCACTGTGCACCCTGACATAGCATCTACATGCCTCCTCATCTGGCCACTGCCCCTAAGTGGGTTGTGAGCCCCATCAAACCAGGTACTGTGTTCTTCTTTTCATCCTCACTTTCTAGCACCATGCCCGGCATACCGGACAAAGGGTATTGTGCAGTTAATCATTATGTAATTTTTTTATTTTTTAAAATATATTTTTATTGATTTTAGAGAGAAAGGGAGAGGGAGAGAGAGAGAGATAGAAACATCAATGATGAGAGAGAATCATTGATCAGCTGCCTCCTGCATGCCCCCTACTGGCAATGGAGCCTGCAACCCAGTCATGTGCCTTTAACCAGAATTGAACCCGGGACCCTTCAGTCCGCAGGCCGACATTCTATCCACTGAGCCAAACCGGCTAGGGCATTATGTTTTTGTTTTTTAATTTTTTAAATATGTTTCTTTATTGATTTCAGAGAGGAAGGGAGAAGGAGAGAGAGATAGAAACATCGATGATGAGAGAGAATCATTGATCGACTGCCTCCTACTGGGGATCGAGCCCGAAACCCAGGCATGTGCCCTTGACTGGAATCGAACCTGGGGCCCTTCATTTGGCAGGCTGACGCTCTTATCCACTGAGCCAAGCCGTTTAAATATGTTTCTTTATTGATTTCAGAGAGGAAGGGAGAAGGAGAGAGAGATAGAAACATCGATGATGAGAGAGAATCATTGATCGACTGCCTCCTACTGGGGATCGAGCCCGAAACCCAGGCATGTGCCCTTGACTGGAATCGAACCTGGGACCCTTCAGTTGGCAGGCTGACGCTCTTATCCACTGAGCCAAGCCAGCTAGGGCTAGGGCATTATGTTTTTTTAAAAAATCCAGATGAAATTCTCATTACCTCATATTAACCATTTTGAAGTGAACAATTCAGTGGCATTTAGCATGTTCCCATGTTGTGGAGCCACCATCATTACCTACTTCCCAAATGTGTCCATCACACCAAAATAAGGCCCCTCACCCACCAAGCACTCCCCCCATTCTCTCCGCCATGCTGCCCCTGCAGTCACCAATCTGTTTCCTATGGATTTGCCTACCCCGGATATTTCATATAAACGGAGTCACACGATATGTGGCCTTTTATGGCTGGTTTCTTCCACTTAGCATCATGTTTTTGAGGTTCACCCACACGTTAGCATGTCTCAGTACATTTTTTTAAATGTTCCTTCTTCTATCCAAATTATTCCATCCCACCTGGAATGCACTCCCCCCTGCCTCCCCTGTGCTCAATCTAACTCATCAGGCTAACAATACAACAGCCATTGGCGCTTTGTGACTGCAGAGGTGAGCGGAAAAGGACGCACTGACCTTCGCAATTAATTTTCTCCTCTTTCCCTAAAAAGCTAGGAGAGATATGTTGGTTGACGTATAGTTTCAAACCTCAGTAACCCTGAAAGCGAGGCCGTTTCATTACTTATTCACGCGGAGAGCACCCAGACAGGGACTGAAGCACTAGACGAAAACAGAAGCCCGTGAGTCACTCGTTAATGCTTAAATCTGAAAACCGTGACTCTGATTATAACACCTTCAAAAGCCCACGGGCGGCCAGGGCACATCACATGAGCTTTCTCTCGCTTTGAACTGATTCTGTATCTTCGGTTTATTCTTGCCTTTCTGTTCTGCCAAGTATCAAAGGCTGTGTTTCAACAAGTCTTGAAAGCTTGGAGAGGTACTTCCCATCGCTGTCCTTATCACATGATCTTCTTCACAAGTAGACTTTTTTTTTTTTTTTTTTTTTTTTTGCTAAGTCACCTACTGTATCACTTTAATAGGCAGAATAATGGCCCCCAAAGCTGTTCCCAACCTAATCCCCGGAACCTGTGAAGATGGGGGGTGGCAAAGGGGGGATTAAGGTTGCAGGTGGAATGAAGGTTGCTGATCAACTGACTTAAGACAAGGAAATGAATCTGGATTATCCAGGTGAGCCCCATGTAACCACAAGGGTCCTTCTAAGGGAGAGAGCAAGGAGGGAGGGTCATTGTCAGGTGGGATGTGAGAAAGGCCCCACCGGCCAGGCTGGCGTTGCAGGTGGACGGGGGCGGCGAGCCAGGACTTACAGGGAAGCTGCTGGAAAAGGCAAGGAAACAGTGCTCCCTACAGCTTCCCTCTAATGCTTTTATTTCCACCCAGTGAGGCCCATTGTAGATCTGACTTCCAGAACATAAAGACAATCGATCTGTGTTGTTTTAACCCTTGGAGTTTCTGCCATTTGTTACAGTAGCAATCGGGAACAAATGCAACAGCTGTTTACAAACGTTGGGGAGAAAAGAACCTTAATTTTTATTTTATTGCTTAAAACGCCAGTTTGGCCCTGACTGGTTTGGCTCAGTGGATAGAGCGTTGGCCTGCGGACTGAAGGGTTCCAGGTTCGATTCCGGTCAAGGGCATGTACCTTGGTTGCGGGCACATCCCCAGTAGGGGGTGTGCAGGAGGCAGCTGATCAATGTTTCTCTCTCATCGATGTTTCTAACTCTCTATCCCTCTCCCTTCCTCTCTGTAAAAAATCAATAAAATATATATTTAAAAAAAAAACAAAAAACGCCAGTTTGAACTGAGCAATTCCTAAAGTTAAAGGTGTTAACTCCTCCCCCTCCCTTTTTTTCAGGTGCTGCTCCTCAAGCAGGGACTTTGGCCACCACGAGGGGTGTCAGAACCCAGGAGGCTTAAAGGTAATTTTGTACATTCTTAAAAGTTGACTATTTTCTCAACATCGTTTCCAAACTGAATAATCATGTCGATGATACCAAGTAATTGAGATGGGTCTCTTCTTCCAATGAACAATTTCAAACTTAATTTACAGTATCATTTTATCTATAAAAAAAAACAATAACCTTGAGCATATTTCTTGTCCAAAATAGCCCTGTGTCTGGTCCTATGACATAAACTAGTTCACATGTTGTCTGTCAGCTGTTGCTGCTCAAGGCACCCGTGACCCAATGGGTAGTGCTTTGAAGGAAGAACTGGTGTCCTCTTCACCTCATTCACCTGCCTTCCTCTTTGCCTGCTGCCCTGTCCATCTCCCCTGGACGGGCCAGGGAAGGAGAGAAGACATAAAAGAAGATTTGATCCCTGCGTCTGTCTCCCTATTTTTTTAAAATATATTTTTTATTGATTTCAGAGAGGAAGGGAGAGGGAGAGAGGGGGAGAAACATCAATGATGAGAGAGAATCATGGATAGCTGCCTCCTGCACGCCCCACACTGGGGATCGAGCCGCAACCCGGGCATAAGGCCAGACTGGGAATCAAACTGTGACCTCCTGGTTCAGAGGTCGACGCTCAACCACGGAGTCACGCCAGTCGGGCTCTGTCTCCCTATTAAATGAAGGTTTTGTTACTTCCAATTTAGAGAGAGTTCGTCTGGCCAAAAGCACAAGCCAGAACTAATTATCAGTAACAAGGGGCAATAATACTTAGAAAATAGGTCAACAGTAAGTTTTTCCTAAACTGAAGCTGTTTATGAAATTCTAAACGTCACATGTTTGTTGTAAATAGCAAACAGAATCACATAGATTATTCATACACTGTACGTAAGCACGTGCATTATTTATTTGTAATGAAGACACTGTTGTTTCTAGCTTGAATCATGTATTCCCTCTGGTGTTTTTCCTTCACATTTGCCTCTAAGCCTGTCAAAGGAGCACTGAAGAGCCACGTGTGGCCTTCGGGGAGGGAGTTGGCCACTCCCGCTCTGTGGATTTCTATTCCTTGTTGGCGCAGCTGAAACACCAATCAACCCCCCCCCCCTTTTACCCTCACCCCCCGCAGGACGTCTGAATCTGCTGAAAATGGTTCTGTGGCTGTGACTTGAAGATCACACGCAGTGAAGTGTTCATGTTGCCACCTTTCCTGCACATTCTGCAGCCAGAACTAATCTGAGCGTATAAAATTCATGTTCCAGACGAGCTTGTTTTGACATTTAATGCCTGCATTCTGCAGCGCAACATAAATATGCTGTACGTTCTCTGCAACTGACCCTGAGTGATACAACACAAAGCTTTGAGAGCATTTACCAAAAAGTATGCAGGTTGCTTCCACATTTAGATGGAATTGCACAGAGATCACAACGCGTGCTTTTGAGTACGTTTCTCAACCAAGGGGGGTCTGAGCAGCTGTTTCAAGCACCTTCTGCACAACATGTGTTATCCATGCACATAATTCACAATTTCAAGTGACCGAAGATACACACACGCACGCACGCACACCATCTTTGCAGCACTAGCCAGCACTGGGAGGAGCTGGTCATCTAGCTTAGAGCAAAGGAAACCTAACTGTGACATTTCAGCATGAGCTGGGTGAGTGAGTCAGTAAAGGAACAGCAGCAAGTTGATCATCCATGAGGCTGGAGATTACGATTTTATTTGGCAAAGGACCTTAGAATAGGGTCCAAAGGGAAGGAAGTTACTAGGAACTTCTTTGGAACTGTGGAGTCGTAGCATTGAAAGCGTGCCTCTCGAAAGCGAATAAACATGCTGAGAGCGAGTGAGTCAGAAGCACATGAATTGTAAGAGGTTGAACCCAAGTGGCCACATCAGGCAGTGCTGCTTAATGCCATCACATGATCCGCCCCGAGGCCCACATTTAATTAAAAGGAGTGGGGTGCAGGAGAAGAGGCTGCTGTTGGCAGATGGAGCCGGAGGAGCTGGGAGCTGAGCCTTGATTGCTGGGTCCGGAGAGCACGGTCAGCATGGAATGTGCCTACTGCTTCCTGGGGTGTCTGCTTCTGGCTGCAGGAGTGCCCCTTGGTGCCGCCAAACGTGAGCGATTCTCAAAGTTTCTGTGTTTAACCCGTTCTCTGGCTCGGGGCTGCGTGCTGGGCTGTCTGGAGAAATGTCGTCTGAGCCAGAGCTAGACTCCATGCTCAGTCATTTCTTCTGGAAACCGCTGGGAATGTGGGAACCACAGCAAAATGCCGCCAGCTCCATTCTTTGCTTCAGGCTCATAGAAACTAATAACCGTGCAGCCTCTCTCTTATGGAGCTTGCTTGCTTTTTTTAATTTATTTATTTTTCCCATCACAGTTGGGACCTACTGTCTTGCCAGACAGGGGAGGGCGGGGGCGCGAGGGGAACAGTCTCTGGCCTGAGAACAGAGCAGCACTTCCCCCTGAACTTTGGTTTCGATCCGGTAGGGTAGAGCGCTCAGGTCAACCGGGCCCAAATCTGGAGACAAGCTCTCTAGTAATCCCAACCCAGAAGCCCACCCCCAGAGATTTCTCCCCAGAGCCTGGGCCCTGGTCAGAGGCGTGCAGCAGGCAACCAATCGACTTTGATGTTTCTCTCCATCTTTCCCTCTCTCTTCCACTCTCTCTAAAAATCAATGGAAAAATACCCTCGGGTGAGGATTTTAAAAACAACAACATAAAAAGCTCCTCTTGTGAGTGGAATGCAAAGCCAGAATTTGAGCCATTTAGGTCAGATGCAGCCCACTGGTCCAGTCCAGGGGTGGGTGGCGATGGCGGCCCCGTGCTCCAGCAGTTAGAGTGGAGCAGGAGTAAAGTGTGCATCACCCAGAAGGGCCACCCCACCTGGCTCCAGAAGGCATTCACTGGATGAGAAGTCAGGGATCCTGGTTCTGCCGCGGGCTTCCCCGGGCCCAGGGGGGAGGCGCTGAGAAAGGACCGCATCTGCATCCCCACCGGCAGCCTGTGTGCAGGCTGCTTCCCTCCATCGCTCAGGTCATCCCCACAGCACCTTCGTGGAGCAGCCGCTCCTCACCCAGTCAACAGGCAAGAACACCAGAGCCCGGCCTGCTGCTCCCCTGCTCGGCCTGAGGGAGCAGCATCTCGGACCCTTGGCCTGAGGGGCCTGCACACACATCCTTCCCACCTCCTCCTTGCGGGAGAGAAGTGTCTGTAATTAAGTTGTCCTCACAGAGTGGGAACCCGAGAGAGGAAGGAGCAGGAAACTGCTGGCAGCCCTGGAGGGCAGAGCGCATGTCCCTGGGGCTGGGAGGCCCGGGCAGGGTGGGATGTGAGAAGGGGGCGCTAGAGGTGCAGGAGCCCCAAGGTGGGGGCAGGGAGTGCCATTTGGGGGGAAATAGAGGGAAGTGGCCAGAGGCATGACCAGTTCTGTTCAGGTCCAGGGAGACCCTGCCCCGCCATCTCCTGGGACTGGGCCCCGTGTCTTTGACCAGGGACTGGGGTGGGTGCCAGGGCCGAGAGCGCTGGCCCATGTCGGCCTCACTGGCTTGTGCACAGCTGGGGAGGCCGGCATCATGATGATCCCGTTTCCCAGACCAAGAAATAGGCCACAGAGAGGTCAAGAAACTGGCCCCAGGCCACACAGCGGGTAAGGGGAAGAAGGCCGCTGCCACGCCACTGTCCCTCCTGAGGTTGCACAGCCGTGGGCTCCCTGCCAACCATGGGCAGGCACAGTGACTTAGCTCCATGCAGCTTTCGTTTCCTCCTTTGCCAAACTGGGTAAAGGGGTTCTTGAGAGATCAGCCAACAACAGGTGCTTGGAGTGGGAGACCTACAAGGTGGCGGTTGTCTTTCTCAAAGAACCTCCTGGGTGACTCCCCAGGAGTCCGGGAGGTAGAGAGACCGAGAACTGACTGGTCAGTGGAGGCCTGCGCCCCGTTCTAGCCTCCTTTCCACCGACGCCCCTTTGCTCTGCTCAGTGAAATAGGTTAGCGGGTTGAATCTCTCCGTTGATTTGAGAGGAGCCCCAGCCCGTTAGGCAACGTAACAAAACCCTGATGTTCCTGGCTCCTCCTGGCCCTAAACCAGAGCTTCTGGCCACAGGAAACGGGATGGGTAGGATTCACCGCGTTTCACACGCTAAGGGATCCTTACCGCTGTCCAATCACAGCCCTGGGAGGAGGGAGGAAGAGGAAGGTGCTGACAAGCTAGTTAAGGATCAGCCTCAGCCGCAGTTGGCGATGGGTGAGCAGGGAGGCCAAAGTGCCCACAGGAAAGCCAGGGCTGAGCTGGGAGTGACTCCATTGACCTTCACACGTATCCCCACCCCCAGCACACCTCTCTTTTTCCCCTTCTAGTCTGCTTACTATTGGGTGTTCTTTTTCTTCTACTTTTAATTCAACTTTTAATTCTGAGGTCATTGTAGATTCACATACAGTTGTAAGAAATGCTACAAAGAGATTCCCCAGTACCCTTTACCAGGTTTCTCCCAATGGTAACATCTTATAAAACTAGTGTATAATATCACAATCAGGATATTGACATTGATACAGTCAAAATACAGACAGTTCCATCACCACAAGGGTCCCTCATCCCTTTAACAGCCAAACCCACCCAGCCCTAGCCCCTAGCAACCACCAATTTATTTTCTATATGTATAATGTTATGTAAATTGTATCATTACAGAATGTCATCTTTGGGAATTGGATTTTTTTTTTTAACTCAGCGTACTTTATTGACGATGTTGCATGTGTCAGTAGTTTGTTCTTTGTTGTTACCGAGTGGTATTCCATGGCATGGATGGACCACACTTTAACCCTTCACCCAGTGGGGGATATCTGGGTTGCCTCAGCTTGGGCTGTTTGAATAAAGCTGCTAGGAACATTCATGTCCAGGTTTTTATGTGAACATAAGTTTCCTTTTCTCTGGGATAAACGCCCAAGAGTTCAATTGCTTAGTTGCATGGTAATTACATGTTTAGTTTTACAAGAGACTGCAAGCTGTTTTCCAGAGTGATTGTACCATTTTACATTCCCACCAGCCATGTATGAGTGATCCGGGTCTTCCCATGGTCACCTACATTTGATGTGTCCCTAATTTTCATTTTAGTAATTCTGAAAGGTGTATAGTGGTGTCTCATTGGGCTTGTAAATGTACATGTCCCTACTGGTTGGCGATACTGAACATCTTTTCATGTGTTTCTCTGCTGTCTGCACAACCTGTTTAGTGAAATGTCTGTTCAGGTCTTTTAATTGGATTGTTTGAGTTTTAACATTGGGTATTGAAAATTCTTCATATATTCTAGATATCAGTTCTTTCTTGGAAATGCAGTTTGCTAATATTTTCTCCCAGTGTGTAATTTGCTGTTTCATCCTCTTCACATGGTATTTCACAGAGCAGAATTTTTTTCATTTTAATGAGGTCTCATTTATCATTTTTTTCCTTCAATGGGTCAGATTTTTGGTGTCACATCTAAGAATTCTTGTCTAGCCTGGAGCCTGAAGACCTCTCCTGGGCTTTCCACATTTTTGTAGCACCATTTGCTGGCTTTCCTCCATCAGATTGCTTTTGCATCTTTGTAAAAAATCAGGGTATTTTTGTGTGGATCTATTTCTGGGTTCTCTATTCTGTCCCATGGACCTACGTCTATTTCTTGTCACTCTCCTTTTAATTTTGCATTTTTCCTTGACTTCTGACATTTAACATCAGAAGAAAGATCTGCTTTGATTATGTTTCTGGGAACACTGCCTTTCTCTCAGGAGCTGAGGAAAAGGAACATTCTTGAGAACAGTGGGAAAAACTGGTTCTTGGAATCAAAAGGTGTGAATCTTCATTTCTACTCAATTAAAGATGATCCTGAGTGGATCCTATCACTTCTCTGGGCCTGAAACTCTTCATCTATAAAACAGGGGGTTTTGAACTAACTAATCTTAGTTCTTTCCGATTGAACATTCTACCATTCTGTGACTCAATCTCTTCATCTATAAAACAAGGGGTTTTGAACTAACTAATCTTAGTTCTTTCCGATTGAACATTCTACCATTCTGTGACTCAATTCAAGTAAATTTCCAGTTACAAACATTTATTGATAAGCATGCATTTCCTGCCCTTGCTTAGTAGTATCATTTTTCCAAATAGGAACAATCTCATAGAATCACAGGACATTTGGTTTTCGTCTGATTTGAAAGCCTAGAGAAGACATGGCCTGGGGTCACCCAGCCTGTCTAGTAGCTAAACCAAGACTAGAGACCAGATTCTGTGACTCCCAGTTCAATGTTCTTTCCTATTCCATCTGCCTCCCTTATAAGAAGGGAACAACACACCGCTCCCTCCTCCTTCCGGGAAGGAGGAATAGAAGACAGAGGTTAGTGGCATCCATTTCATATGGCTTCTCTGACTACCTACCAAATACCACCCCTCATGGAAAGCCTCTTCCAGGGTTTAAGAGAAGACAGCGTTTCTGGCCGTAAGAATTCACAACCACACCAAGAAATAAGACCATACGAATTGATGAGAAAACAGTTTATAATAGTGTATAATCAGGAGCTGACAGAGTTTTGGGCTGTAATAGATTACTTAAATAGGTTGAGTAAGACACTTAGTATCTCAATAAGTCCAAAGGTAGGCAAGACTAGCACAAGAGCTCAGCAATATCATCCAGAACTGTTCATCCTTCCATTCTGATGTGTTGGCTTGCTTCCTCAGATTTGTGACCTCATGGTTAGGGCTACCCCAGCTCCAGGCATCACATCATTGCCCTACCATCTCCAAAATCTATTCTGAGTAGAATTACCTAAACATACCATGTAAAAGATAGAGTGAATTTTTTTAAAAAACCAACAATATGCTATCTATATATATGGATTTCTTATAGATACTCGTATATGATGGAAAAGGATGTGCCAGTTCAACACTGAGCATTAATATCAAGGTATTCTCAGAACAAGGAGTATTACCAGAGATAGAAGTCAATTCCTCATGATAAAAGGATTAATTTATGAAGAAGATTAAACATTCAGAGCTTCAAAATACATAAAGCAAAACCTGACAGAACTGAAAGAAGAAACTGGCAAATCCATCATAATAGTTGAACATTTCAACATTCCTCTCTCAGTAATTGAAAAAACAAGTAGACAGAAAAACAATAGGAACCTAGACGTCTCAAAAAACACTGCCAACCAGCCTGACATAAATAACATTAAAATCAAACACTTTGCTCAACAACTGTAGACTATACAAGTGCCTATGGAACAATTACCAAAATAGACCATATACTGGGCCACACAAAAAGTAGATTGTTCAATAGTGGGCTGTCCAGTATGCATCTCTTGGAATCCTGGAGGCATTCCTGAGCCTGGTATTCCTTTAGCCAAGTGAACAATTCAGGATGAGAAAAGATGCAAAAATTGATCTGAAAATTATTGGTATCTGTGTTTTCCTGATGACATTGTGTAAATCAAAATATTCAGAGGAGATGTGTTGAACAAACAAATGATGGCTAAGAAATGCTGACTTTCAAATTTTTCTTTGATTCATCTAATGTACATGGAGTTAGTGTCTGAATACTTGTATTAAAGGTATTTCCAGTGGAGATTTAAAAAAAAAAACTTTACCTGTTTGACATATTGGGAATATTATGTATGTTCTTTCTAACCTTATGGAATAAAAAGTGACTTTAACCATTGTTAGGTAAGTATTAAACGAGGAATAGAGTTGACTAAATAATTGGTTTTTCAAATATTGATACAGGATTTCATGATGTGCTGAGCGATGAAAGAACTTCTGGTCATATGAGGGAGCACAACCAACTAAATGGTTGGTCTTCAGATGAAAATGATTGGAATGAAAAACTCTATCCAGTGTGGAAAAGAGGAGACCCGAGGTGGAGAAACTCCTGGAAAGGTAAGTGGAATGATTCAACCCAAACAACTGTCATTTCCTATTTAAGTCAGTCTCATATCATGGACTTGGAAATCACGTGGATGTTTCTCTCTCTCTCTGTCTCTCTCTTCCCCCCTGCCTTGCTTCTTCTCTCTAAAATCAATAAATAAAAATTAATAAAATAGCCCTAACCGGTTTGGCTCAGTGGATAGAGCGTTGGCCTTCGGACTGAAGGGTCCCGGGTTCGATTCCAGTCAAGGGCATGTTCCTTGGTTGCAGGCACATCCCCAGTAGGAGATGTGCAGGAGGCAGCTGATCGATGTTTCTCTCTCATCGATGTTCTCTCTCATCGATGTTTCTAACTCTCTATCCCTCTCCCTTCCTCTCTGTAAAATCAATAAAATATATTTTAAAAAAACTTATTTTAAGTGAATGTTCTTTCTGTGTTTAGAGGATTTTTTAACTGGTCTGACTTCCTTTTATTATTTATCTTCTAGAATGTTGTATTCTGATAACAAAGTTAGGAATCCATAAAATAAATTAATTTATTGTAAAGAGGCATAAGGATCCTCTGGCTGGTCCTTAGGATTAGATTTAACTTGATGTCATTCATCAGTGAAAGGAAAGAGATGCTTGATCATGGAGCTCCGTTTTTCTTTGCCCTAGGAGGCCAGGTGCAGGCGGTTCTGACCAGTGATTCCCCAGCCCTGGTGGGCTCAAATGTAACATTTGTGGTGAGCCTGGTGTTCCCCAGATGCCAAAAGGAAGATGCCAATGGTAACATAGTCTATGAGAAGAACTGCAGAGATGGTAAGGAAAGTTATTTACTTCACAGGAACACGCTAGTTCTCCGAACTACTGGAGGCCCAGCTCAGAAACCTTGATCCTTGCAGGAGCTTCTCCCATGAATGCAAGATGCTGCTATCATCCCATGTCACCCTCTCAAGTTGATGATGGGGAGGGTGAAAGTGTGATTCAAGTCCTTTCACCAACATTAGCCAATGACCCTTCAGCAAACAGATGGCTCTCTGCTACTTGGAACCCTCTTGTCAAGCTCAGTTTTTTCTTAGTGTCCAGGTGATTGGACAGAGAATACCTTGTTAATTCTCAAGTTTTGGTTTTATTACTTGAAATTCTTTTGGTTACTCAAGGAATAGCCAATTTGACAGATGTTTGCTGCTTAGAGTAATTCTGCTCACAGGTATTTCTTAAGCAAGTGCTGTGTGGCTAGCACAAATGACAAAATGTCTAATTTTGGATTTGTTTTGCTCTTAGTTAAAGCAGATAAGTTCTTTGTTAAAGAGTGACAATACACACAAATACATCAAGGGAAATTATCTCGTTGGAACTGTACATTCTTAAAAATGCCAAGCTAATTACCGAGATTCTTCAATCAGTGACAAGGCTATTAAATGCATCTAATGATCTAATTTTATTATTTAGAACTTCAATGAAATGGTCAACATGTTCATTCCTTATTAATTTATCATATTTCTATGAGGAAAACACTAGATTCTGTACAGAACAGGTTTGATAGTTAAAAAGTGTTGTATTTAAAGTTCTGTAGCATTTTTCTCTTTTTTCCTAAAAAAATATGCTGATTCGTATGAATGTTTCAAATGACAATCTAGCCCTCTGAGCATTTTTTGTATGAAAGAGTTCTTTTGACTTATGAAAATTCTAATGAAATATCGATCACCACTACAAAGACCTGGGGATCATTGAAGAAATGACTGATTCCGGGTGTAGGGCAGGGTTGCAGGTGAGCTGGGGTATCTCCCAGCATGGGGGAGGGGGTGCTCAGAGATTGATGGGGACCTGTCACAAGGACACAGAAGCCGGCTTGCAGGGGCTCTCACTGGCCCTGTTTGAGTCTATTGAAGAATAAAAATACTAATGGCTGTAATGGATTGATAAATTAAAAACTCCGTAAATGTCAGTGACATAAAATACCAAGAGTTGTTCTAGATGAAAAATAATACTGATTGTGTCTTATTTAAAATGAAATATGTCATACGTACAGAAAAGTACTAGTAGAAAGTAGGGTACATTGAACAGCCAAACACCCTACCTAGCTTCAACAATTTAAACATTCTGGATATTTGTTCTCTCTCTCTCTCTCTCTCTCTCTCTCTCTCTCTATCTATCTCTCTCCTTCCCACCCTCCCCTTCCACCTCCCTCCCTCCCTTCCTTCTTTCCTTTCTTCCTTTCTTTCTGAAACAAAATAGCCAAATGTAGTATGTGACCCTTGATTACTGTGGGAGGTGGTAATGGCATTGTGCCTGTGTAAGAGAATGCCCTTATTCTAAGGAAATGTGTGCTGAAGTCTTTAGGAGTGGGCAGTCATGATGTACAATGAGTCAGGAAGAAAGGCTACAGATAGAGTGTATCCAAATAAGAAGAAAAAACTACCCTCAGTTTGGTTTGAATACAGTTGTGATTTGGAGACTCAATGTGAAGATAAAGTATATGGAGTGAGATCTATAGATCAAGCATGTCAAACTCAAAGGCTAACACGGGCCAAACAAATGAGGCATGTGGCCCATGGGCCGCGAGTTTGACATGCTTGATCTAGATTGAACATTCCTGATATTTGTTCTATATACTTACTGAAATTGAACATATATAACATATACAGAAAAATGCACAGATCATAAATGCACCATTGGATGAATTCTAAATATTAGGGCTGTAGTTGTTCAACTATATTTAAACTAGATTTGAAAAAATATGAAAAGTGTCTAATTCAATGATGAGCTTTGAGCAGTCTGATCCAGACAACGATCACAGTTTTTCTTTCTCTGCTTAGGAACGGGCCCATCTGCTGACCCGTATGTTTACAACTGGACAGCGTGGGCTGAGGACGCTGACTGGGGAAATGACACCAACCAAAGCTACCACGTGTTCCCCGACGGCAGGCCTTTCCCGCACCACCACCACCACCACCACCGGTGGAGGCAGTGGGGTTTCGTCTACGTGTTTCACACACTTGGTTGGACTTTTACAAACCCCTTTAGCTTTTCCTTTATCTTTCCTTAAAATTTAAAAATTTGTCTCTTTTCTTATTCTATAATCAAGAATTAATAACACTGAGAGTTTAATCACAGTTAACCTGTTAACTTTCCTTAGCTGGGATGTATATGGCTTAGTCTTGCCAAATTTCCAGGACACCAAAGAATTAAAAGGGGGGGGAACCCCTGATTCAGCTTTCTTTGTTAAAACAAAACTCATTTTTTTTCTGTCTAAAACAGTAATCTAAAAAAAATACTAATATTTATTTTTTTAAAAATACATATATTTTATTGATTTTTTACAGAGAGGAAGGGAGAGGGATAGAGAGCTAGAAACATCAATGAGAGAGAAACATCGATCAGCTGCCTCCTGCACACCTCCTACTGGGGATGTGCCCGCAACCAAGGTACATGCCCTTGACCGGAATCGAACCTGGGACCCTTCAGTCCACAAGCTGACGCTCTATCCACTGAGCCAAAACGGTCAGGGCTACTAATATTTATTTATTTGAATGGCACACAGATGGGCATTTGTTGATTTATTCTTTACTTTTTTATATTGTCAAATGAATTTTTAAGAATTAAAGAAATGTTTTTTTTAGGAAATTTGGAAAATGCAGAAATGTACAAATGAAAAATCAGTCACCCATAATTAACACCAGAGGTTATCACTGTTAACATAATGGTGTTTTCTTCATTAGTATTTCTTGATTAGGATTATAATGTACACACATTTTTTTCTTAATGTCACGAGTATTTGACTACATCATTAAAATTCTTTATATACATTATTTTAATGACTATATAATATTCCATTTTGAAGAAATAACATAATCTAACCACTGCTCTTCTTTGGCATAGCCAACCTTGTTTTCTTTTTTTACCCACAAATGGTATCCACTTTGCTTTATTGCTAGAAATTTAGGTTATTTCTAGCAAAGCTGCTAAGTCCTTAGTTAAAAATGTCACCAGGTGCCACCTGGCTCTGAGGATTTGAAAATTGCTACCAATAGTGCAGCCTCCAAATTTCTAAATGTTTTGTCTTTTATTTCGTAAATTAGAGAAAGCTTCTCTTTCTCCAATTAACTATTTGCAAATCAAAACAAAATATTAATAATGCATTCTGATCGAACAAAGTAGAAAATACCTGTCAAATATTATGCCATCTAATTAGATCAGTTGATTTAAAGCTGACTTTTTTCAATGCATGTCTGGCCCTTTGTCTGTCACCTCACCCAGTGTCATGATTTCTTTGACCTGACATGGAGTTTTCACGGAGTCACTTACGCTTACTGACTCTCAGAGTCTGTTTAGCCTAGTTAACATCCACTAACTTAACTAGTTAAGATGTCTTTATTTGCGATCAGCTTTTAGCCAGGAATTTTTGGTTTTCTAACAAGACTATTTTGAATTCCCATCTTCTGCTGAGGTCTTAGAGTTAACTGATATTGTCCCTCAACTAAGCATTGCCCCCGAGGTCTCTCTCTCAGTGCCAGAACTAACGTTTTCCTCACATATAATAAACCTCCTCGGAGACTCCATCAGAACTGCCTCTGCATGTCACCGTACAGGGGGGTCCAAATTACACATCCCTGAGAAGTCTAGTGTATTTTCCTAACACCTTCGACCAGGCGATAAACATGGTCACTCACCACCCCCACCTCACAAGCATCCATCTTACAATACCTGTCGTTCCACTGACACAGCTATACCAGGTGACTCAAAGGATGAGAAACATCCTTGTGCCCTGAAGGAGAGGAGTCCCTTTCACTGCTCGACAGAGACAGTTAGATGAAAGGTTAGGGTTCAGAAAGAAAAAGAATGGCTCCAGGGTGTCCTAGAATGCTTTTATAGAACCGCTCCGTTCCTTTTTATACCCACCCCACCGTCCATCACTTACTGCCTATTTATACGCAGATACTATTAGAAAGTGGAGGATTCTAGTCCCCTTTAAAAAAAAACAAGCTTCATAATAATATAGCCAAAATAGTAATATTATTACAAAAATAAGGTTGATTCTTGGATAAATTTTTTAAAATGCCATTGGCCACTTCACCATTACATTAAATGTATTTCCTGTGGGAAATACATCTATTTCAAGTGCCAAGTCACTTATTTATAGTAAGTGTTTATTTATGAACCAATGACTGCATTATCCCACCAAACAGCTCTGTCCGTTTTACCCATGCAGTTACGTTTATTTAACTGTGGGTTTGTTTTATAAAGTTTTATGTAACAACCCTTCCTGGTGCTCCCTCCCCAGAGCAATCTCAAAATGACCGTGGCTAAGAAACAACTTCCTATAATGGTCATGTGATAGTAACCAACACCCAACCGTTTCCACCCTCTCACAGGTCAGTATTACCAGAAATTGGGACGGTGTTCAGCGAGTGTTTCTATAAACACAACCAACGTGACGCTTGGCCCTCAAGTCATGGAAGTAGCTGTCTATAGAAGAAACCGAAGGGCATACACTCCTGTCGCAAAAGTGAAAGATGTGTACCTGGTCACAGGTGAGTGGTGTGAACGCTCAAGGAACTGAGGAGGGAGGAGGCCCTTCGTTCTGATGGTGTTAGTGGGCTAAGAAGCAGTGAGAACCGAGTGTTCTGGGTGGGGTTACCATTCATCTGGACTCCTCCTCCAACTTATATTCAAGGATGTACTCCCTCTGTTTTCCAGATTAACGCGGGGAAACTCTAGAAAAACTTACACAGGAAAAAGAAAAATGATGCTGAATTATCCCTAATTTAAAATTTTAGCTTAAAAGTGTTATTGAAGTCATCCACTTAAAACCAAGCAATCATGCATTCTTTGTATGTATCTGTATCTTTTAGATCAGATTCTTGTGTTTGTGAATATGTCCCAGAAGAATGATCGAAATTCCTCCGATGAAACCTTCCTTAGGGACATTCCCATTCTGTTTAATGTCCTGATTCACGATCCCAGCCACTTCCTGAGTGAGTCTGCCATTAACTACAAGTGGAACTTCGGGGATAACACTGGTCTGTTTGTTTCCAACAATCGCACTTTGAATCACACGTACGTGCTCAACGGGACTTTCAGCCTTAACCTCACTGTGCAAGCTGCAGTGCCTGGACCTTGCCCTTCACCTACACCCAGACCTCCAAAACCCACTCCTTCTTTATGTAAGTGTTTTCCAGGTGATCTTTGGGGGCAGGGGGGGGTCCTTAACTGCTAAAAAAAATGACATGTAAGTTAGAGTGCAACATCCCTAGTTAAAAGGGTTGTGTAGAGACTCTGCAAAAATCTTTTGGTTTTTAAAGCCATTTTGTCACTATTTTAAGCTATTAGAATATGGACGAAAGGAGAATGTGCTTAAAGACACTTTGCAGGTAAACGTTGGTGACTTGTAAACCACTCTTCGACCTTCCTGGTTTTCACTGGCCTCGGTCACGTGCACAGGTGCCTCCCCCTTCTAGCTCACACATTCTTGTTCGTCTCCCAGTGTTTGTCGCTATGAGAAGACACACCGGCGCCTTGTAAACATTCAGGCCATCCCACTTTCCTTCCTCCCTCCCCCGTTTCTCGCCACTTCCATTCTCCTCCCTGCGCTGCCCACATCCACTCAGTGTCCCATGAAGACACAGCCACACCTAAAAGCTCTTCCTAAATGGCCCAAAAGGAATGTGCCTTGAGAACATTTCTTGGCCAGCAAGCTGGAAAGACTCCAGACATTAAAACTGTTCCGGCTATAAAGCTTAATTAATTAAATCCCACCCTCTACTAACAGTACATGAGGACATTCAAGAAGTTCTTAAGCGTCTACTTTGGGAAGCCTCAGCTTCCCTTCCCCACTCGGCCATTAGCACATCTTAGCACCCCAGGATCCAGGGGATTGTAATAGGCTGACATCCTCTCATTGGACACAAGAGGGCGCCATCACCAAGCCCAGAGGGACCACGCCATCATGATGTCTAAACTTGTCATTGTTTTTACCAAAAACCTGTTTGTTATCAACAATAAACTATCATAATAGTGCTATTAATAAAATGAGATATTATTAAACCAAACATATGTAAATCAAGACACTATAATTTATTACTAATTGTATTCTTTAAAATATATTTTATTAATTTTTTAAAAATATATTTTATTGTTTTTTTACAGAGAGGAAGGGAGAGGGATAGAGAGTTAGAAACATCGATCAGCTGCCTCCTGCACACCTCCTACTGGGGATGTGCCCGCAACCAAGGTACATGCCCTTGACCGGAATCGAACCTGGGACCTTTCAGTCCGCAGGCCTACGCTCTATCCACTGAGCCAAACCGGTTAGGGCTATTTTATTAATTTTTATTTATTGATTTTAGAGAGAAGAAGCAAGGCAGGGGGGAAGAGAGAGAGAGAGAGAGAGAGAGAGAGAGAGAAACATCCACTTGTTATTCCACTTATTTATGCATTCATTGATTGAATCTTACATGTGCCCTGACCAAGGATGGAGCCCACAACCTTGACAAATCCGCATGATGCTCTAACCAACTGAGCTACCCGGCCAGGGCTCATCTGTCTGTTAAAGTGTTAGTTTTTCTCCATTAGCCCTTTAATCATACCTTGACTTTATAAATATAGACACAGAGATATAAACTTGATTTTAGGTGTGTCTGCAAAACAACATGTGCATTTTTATAAGCATTCTACCAACGATAAAAGCAACTTTTATTATTTGGTCATTTTTTAAAGTTTTATTTTGAAGTATAGCAGAGTCATGATTCTATGCTCTAACTTGACAGCTAAATTCTGCCTGTCAAGAACTCTAAAAGAAGTTCTCTAGTTTCCTGGAAGCAGCCAGCCATCTTTAATACCCTCTACACACAACTCTATTGCTACAGAACATAGCGGTTAAATCTCAGCACTAAATGAATGATCACCCTGTAACTTCCGAAGAACCACTGCGAGACTCAGGGGGCATCCCCAAGAGTCTGCCACAGACCATCCTGCTGATAAACCGCTGCATTTGAACCCAACATGGCATCGGAACCTTCCGGGCTTTACCCAAGTGGCATTTCCCAAAGTGTGTGCCATGGAACACTTGCTTCCAGAGATACTCTGAGAAGTGCTCTGAGAAGGCCCCTCAGAGCAGAGGAGCTTCTCGCTCAGTCCCCCACTCAAGGCTCCGAGGAGGCCTGGCGAGCTCTCCCACAGGGCTTCGTGCCTGCGTGTCCCTGTGGTAAGAAGGGGGCCCTTCTGAATGAAGCTTGGGTGCCCTTCCCACAAAACTGGGTCCATTTCATGCCTTCTTAAATTTTAGAGAAAGTCATGTTGCATTTTCAGTATCATACTTTCTTTCTAGTCTTTTTATCTTGTTAAAGGAATACCAACACCTTAATTAGAGCTTTTGAAATTATAACTAATTATCTTTTTATTGGGGTAAAATTGATGTATCACATTATATTAGTTTCAGGTGTACAGAGCATTACTGGGTCCATTTCATGCCTTCTTAAATTTTAGAGAAAGTCATGTTGCATTTTCAGTATCATACTTTCTTTCTAGTCTTTTTATCTTGTTAAAGGAATACCAACACCTTAATTAGAGCTTTTGAAATTATAACTAATTATCTTTTTATTGGGGTAAAATTGATGTATCACATTATATTAGTTTCAGGTGTACAGAGCAATCTCAAAATGACCGTATCATTCTTTGCTTTAATCAGATTCAAAGGGTTGTTTTTCAAAAGCATCCTGTGCCCACTCCTTTTCTTCCCCACATCTCTGCTCACCAATAACTGAGGACTCTTAGAGCGTAGGAATAGCAGCTATGAGACAGCCAAACAGGAGAAAAATTGCCTTCTTCCATGTTGCTTGTTTCTTAATCTATGATGCACCTACCTTACTATTTAAAATTATATATCTTATATGTGCTATAGCATACCGTATCTAAGTAGATGTATAGAAGTGCATGATGGGACAAGGAAACTGATGTTTATTAAGTACTTCCGAAGTGGCAGGTATGAGAAGCAGGTTTTATATACCTCATCTCATTTAAGTTTCATAGTTCAACCTCACTAGGTCAGGAAGTATTATTCCCATTTTACAGATGAGTCCATTGAGGCAAAGAGAGGTGAAATAATATGCCCATGGTCTCAAGCAGCTAAAAACAAAGGATCTGGGATTTGAGCCCAGAAAACCTGCCTCCAAAATTAAAATATGTCCTTGTCTATGATGGCCTGCTTTATTTCATCATGACTGTTGTATCACATATTTAAAGTGGCTTCTACCTTTCATTTGCTTCCTGTGTTTAAGCAAAATATGAGATTGTGTTTACTTACATAATTTAACAATTATAATGCCTTACAGCTCTCACATCTATATGCATCGTTACACGTTTAGTTCACATTTCTACAGCAATTTAAAAGTATAGGGTTCTTGATGTTTTTCTAAGGAGCAGGCAGATAGGTGTTTAGATTTTTGGTTCTAACATGTACATCTTTTACATTCTCAGCAACTAACCTAAACTCTATTATTCAAACTCTGCAGCACCCGCCGAGGACAGCCTGCTGGAGCTGGGGGAGGTTCCCGATAAAGACTGCCGGATTAACAGATACGGCCACTTCAGGGCCATCATCACAATTGTAGGTAAGACTAGCAGGTGAAGGCTGTTGGAGTCTACCTCAGGCCACCCACTCACTTCATTGACTCTGGCGGGTGCGGGTGGGGAGCAGGGCCACCCACTCTCTGTCCAAGGTGATGCCGCGCACACACGAGCAAAGACTCTACTGGTGTCTAGATTCCCACCTTCCTGCCCCAGCCTTCCCACCACATCCCAGTGGAAATGAGCCTTCCGTGAGGCCCACAGACTGATGAGCCTTCCCAGGCCCTGTATCTCCAGCCCTGTGCATCCCGGAAACCTGAATGAATGAGCCTTGAAAGAAGGCCGATGACAAGTTCCCACAACTTCTGCTTTCTTCCCTAGCTGGTTTCACAAAGTCACACTTCTCGTATGTAAGAAACGAGAGTGAACAGGGCCACCACACACATTTGTGCATTTCAGGCACACCCCACAAGCACCCAGCAGACAAGACAGGTGGGGTCTGCAGCCAGGCCATGCACCCTGGACCTCGGGTGGGGGTAAAACCCACGCTGTGTGCCCCTCACGAGCAAAGCTGGCCAAGGCCTGCACCCAGGGCTGCATTCCCCTAGGGGCACTTTTTCCTGGAACACCTGCCCAGAGCGGGTCCTACCTTCTAACACAGACATGGGATCCAGAAATGAAGAGCTAGGGTGGGCTCAAGAGCCATTCAGCTTGACTTTGAAAATGCTGCAGGGGCACGTATGCGAAGCAATGGGGTAGATTCCCGGATCTGGGGTTGTGGTGTGTGAGAAGGCTGTCTCCGTTTTGTTTGGCCTCCTGATGTGTTAAAGAGTAGTTTGATTTGGGCTGGTTTCCACTGTATGTTGATGTGTTTTTCCATGGGGGCTTGTTTTGTTAGAGGGAATTCGAGAGGTGAACATCGTGGATATGACAGAAGTCCTGATGCCCCTGCCACAGCCCGAGGACCCCTTGATGGATTTCCTCGTGACCTGCGAAGGGACGTGAGTACTTCGCCTCCCTCAGAGGGCGGGTCAAGTGAGGACCCCAGGCCTGAGCAGAGGCCTGATTCCAGTCTCCCCAACTAAGTGGATTCATATTTCTAGTTCATCAGTAAGTCAGGACAAGGAAGGGCCCTGCGAGGCCTTCTCAAGGATGCATTTGTTTTGCTAAAGTAGAGCAATGCTCATTACCTTTAACTGTTGATGAAGCTGAATAATAATTATTGATCGAACAGTTACTATGTTCTTACCATTGTACATCTGTTCTCACACAATCCTGTGAGTCTCCTCATTTTACAGATAGGGCCACAGTAATTACAGAACTTGTCCCCATAGACAGTGGGTACCTGACAGCACAGTTCACAGGTCAAGGTCTGGCTCAGAAACCCACTCTTTTTTTCCCAATATGTGTTTATTGATTTTAGAGAGGGAGGAAGGGAGAGGGAGAGAGAGAGAAACATTGATAGAAGAGAGAATCATGGATAGGCTGCCTCCTGCATGCCCCCTACTGGAGATCAAGCCTGCAACCTAGGCATGTGCCCCGACCTGGAATCAAACCTGCGACCTTTTGGTGCATAGGACGATGCTCAACCAACTGAGCCACACTGGCCAGGGCAGAACCCCACTCTTAAGCTCCCCAAGGCTCCTCCAGAGTGGCAAGAGACCAATGTGGAATAGCTGGGTCTTAGCATTAATTAACAGCAATGCCTGATAATCCTGTCTCTCTTTATCATTTACAAAGCTCCTCTAGTGCATTATATAATTTGGCTTCCTACGGTTTGATTATAACTATATATAATAGACTAACTAGATACTAGTGAATATATGTACTATATCAATTAATTGTTCATGAATTAACTGATTCACATACACGTAAATCCAGTGATTAAAATGTATGTGTGTGTTGCCCTAGCTGGCTTGGCTCAGTGGATAGAGCGTCAGCCTGCGGACTGAGGGGTCCCAGGTTCGATTCCAGCCAAGGGCATATGCCTGAGTTGCAGGCTCCATCCCCAGTAGGGGGTGTGCAGGAGGCAGCCGATCAATGATTCTCTCTCATCATTGATGTTTCTATCTCTCTCTCCTCCCTTCCTCTCTGAAATCAATCAATAAATGCATTTTTAAAAATAAATAAAAATACTTGCTATTTTAAAAAAAAGAAAATGTATGTGTATGTAAATGTATAAATGAACAAGAGCGTGGGACGGTATAAAAATGGTAGCTAAGCCCTCATCGGTTTGGCTCAGTGGATAGAGCGTTGGCCTGCGAACTGAAGGGTCCCAGGTTCGATTCCGGTCAAGGGCATGTACCTTGGTTGCGGGCACATCCCCAGTAGGGGGTGTGCAGGAGGCAGCTGATCGATGTTTCTCTCTCATTGATGTTTCTAACTCTCTATCCCTCTCCCTACCTCTCTGTAAAGAATCAATAATATATATATATTTTTTAAATGGTAGCTAAGAAGCTCTCCAGCTTGGGGACTGAGGATTGACAGGAACTAGAGAAAAAGCCGACTGAAGAGTGAGGCTGTGGCAGAGGCCAGGGCATGCCTCCATCGCAGCCCACGCCCCCATGGGACCCAGCATCAGAGCCCTGTCTCTCCCTCCAGGAAGTCTACTCAGAAGTGAAACAGTGACCAAGACAGTCCTGCCTGGCCGGTAGCCTAGTGGTCACCAGGACAGCTATCAGACATCTCTAGTTCAAGTCCCAGCTCCACCTCTGACTGCTGTGTGATCTTGGGCCAATTATTTTCTGTCCTGAGTGCTTCGTCCCTTGCTGCACTGGGATAATGTTACTTTCCTCATAAAGACACTGAGAGGAGTAGACAGGGTCATATATCTAAAATGCAGCGCCTCACACAGTAAATATCGTCTGCTCAGCTGTCGTTGCTGCTGTTGCTGTATTTTCCTCTGCAGGAAGCTAGGCAGGGCCAGCTCCAGCATTTAATAATCTATTTGCCTAAGACCTACGCCGCCTGCATCCTAGAGAGTCAGAAGATAGAGGGAATGGCTTGGGCTTCACACAGGGTCCAGCAGCCCCCTGCCTGCCTTGGTGGCACATAATTTCTTCCTGTTCCATCCCCGGGCCTCACCTTCTGAACAATAAGGAGGAAACAGTAGCTCATTCCCAGGCTCATTTGAGGATAAATTATGTGACAATTTAACATCAGATAGTTTGAGGAAAAATAAGGTGGATTTCAATGTTATAGAAATGATTTTTCCTTTAAAGCTGTTTCATCCCTCTCTCTCCCTCTCGGTGCCGTGCACGTCCCCAGCATTCCCACCGAGGTCTGTACCATCGTTTCTGACCCCACCTGCCAGCTCGCCCAGGACACGGTCTGCAGCCCCGTGGAGGTGGCCATGGGCGACGCGTGCTTGCTGACCGTGAGACGGGCCTTCAACGACTCCGGGACCTACTGTGTGAACCTCACTCTGGGTGACGATGCGAGTCTGGCCCTCACGAGCACCCTCGTCTCTGTCCTGGGCAGACGTGAGTTCTGTGTTTTGGTTGTGGGAGCATTTCATAGTGTAGATAAAGGGCATCGTGTTTCATACTGAAGAGCTTTGTTATCAATGTTTAATTTTATTTCAACGCAAAGTTTATTGAACTCTTGTTAATGTGGGTTTGAGGACTGGCATTAAAATCCAACAGCAAATCTATTTAGGGAAGGGATGAGAGAGAGAGAGAGAGAGACCGAGTGAAATCATGGCCAAAGAAAGCCTTTTGATGAAAAAAACTCAGCTCTGATCATGGAGCAGTAATCACAGGATCTGATCACTGAATGCGAGAATGGATTCCTATGCCAAGGGGGAGTGCGAACCAACATCAACAAATAACAATGTTCTCCAGTTAAACCATGGCAGAGGGGAGATTGGGATCAAGTTGTCATGGAAGCCGCTGGGCAAAGATATGAAGCCAAGGAGAGAAATAAGAAATCAAGTGGGGTGCTCGCTTCAGCAGCACATACACTAAAATTGGAACGACACAGAGAAGATTAGCATGGCCCCTGCGCAAGGATGACACGCAAATTCGTGAAGCGTTCCATTATTTTTTAAAAAAAGAAAAGAAATCAAGTGAGCTCCTCTTTCCCTTCTAACTTGCCACTCTCTCTTTCCCTTCCCAAATTCAACTGAGCATCCCACAGAGATTGTAGGAAACCAACTTACCTATTCCTCGGATGGTCACCAGAAAAATCAATCTTGACCCTCCCAATGCTTGGAGAGGTAAATGTTTACAAAATGGACTAAGACATTTCATTGAGAATTGTTCATTTACTGGTGCCTTCCAATGTTTCCCAACCTCAAATTAAGGTCCCTACCTGGTGACCCTAACATAATTTCATTTATCCCCAGTTTTGTTGTGAAGTTACGGCTTTATCTCTTAGAAGCAGTGCTCTGTGGTGGAATGGAAGGAAGAAATTGTATACACATTATATTCGGTTTGCCCCTTGAGTACTGTCAGGTACAACCTAATGACTAACTCACAAGTAACCCCTTTGGATTGGAGCCTGTCTCATAAGGTAACATGTGCTTAGACATATTCAGTCGTTAATATAAAAGGCAGCTTTAGCCTCATGGAAAGAAAAATTGTAGTAACCACACATGTAATTGTAGTAACCACACATGTAATTTGTATGAGGGCTTATTGTTCGTAAGATCCAAGGTATAGATTTGAAAATACACACACACAAAAACAAGAATACAAAGGAAGGAATTCTCTTTCCTGGGGGGCGGGTGCATTGGGCCCTAGGGTGAAGAGCTGAGAGGTGGCGGCGAAAGGCAGCTGGAGCCTCAACACTACCACCTCCAGGCTCTTGTGCTGCCCCAATTGTTGCTTTTTGGGGGGGGGGAGGAGGGTTGCCTTTAAAGTCATAACCTAGTCCAGTGGTCGGCAAGCGGCACATGTGGCTCTTTGGCCCCTTGAGTGTGGCTCTTCCACAAAATACCACGTGCGGGCGCACACGTACAGTGCAATTGAAACTTTGTGGCCCATGTGCAGAAGTCGGTGTTTTGTGGAAGAGCCACACTCAAGGGGCCAAAGAGCCACATGTGCCGACCACTGCCCTAGGCTATGAAGCTTCCTCGGTGCCGGCAAACCACTGTTCTCTTATCCGGATTCGATGCTAGATGCGTGTTTAATGCTTCTTGTAGTGAGTGATAACTTTAGGGGTGACCCGAGCCATCTGTCAGAATCCAAATTAAGGACGTCCAGGAGAGCTTTGAATCCAGTGGGGCTGTCCCTCGGTGACTCAGGTATCAAAGTCAGAATTCAGAAAAATAGATCATTGCTCAAAGGCAAATCCATAGACGCTCAGCTTTTACGCATTGATCCAATGAACAGGCACGAAGCAGCTGCAATTCTTTCAACAGATACTCAGTGAGCATCTACTCTGTGCCCAGCACGGCTCCAGGCACAGGCTATACGGTTCTAGGTCGAGTGGGGAACGAGACGAAGAAGACCCCTGCTTTAGTTGGGAGCACAAACAGATAAGAAGGCACGAAATCAGAGCAAGGCAGGGCAGGGAGAGTGACTAGCATGGGAGAGAAGCGACAAATGCTGGCTTTTCAGATTGGGAGGTCGGGGGACTTCCTGCCGACCCAGCAGCGCCCACGTGGTGAGGGGCCTCCACTGAACAGAGACCTGAATTTGAATCATGAGCAGCCCGTTGCGATCCTTGCAGGCCACCTGCAGGGTTAGGGTTTTATTCTGTGCGTAAGGGGAACCACTGGTGGGATCGAAGCGTGATCCTAATGGATGCTTTCAGAAGGTCCTACTGACCACTGAGTGCAGCAAGGGTCATTGGGGGTAAGAGATCTTCCCAGGGGAGAGGGCTGGTGGCTGGGACGGCAATGGTGGTGGCGGAGGAGATGGAGGGAAAATAGATCAACTCCACTTATACTTTGGCGGTAGAGACAAGATTTGCTGGGTTCCTGGAGTACAGAGAAGACATAACCCTTGCTTCGTGGTTCTCACAATTTAATAGGAGAGAAATGTGTGTAAGAAAGTAATTGCAACACAATGGGATTGAGGCAGAGGAAGAGAGGCGAGCAGTGACCAAGGAAGGGGCGACCACCGCCTCATGAACGTCTGGAAGGCGCCCCAAAGGGGTGGACACGAGATAAGCTGAGGAAGGACATTCCCCGCAGAGGGCGGGGGGATTTGAGGGTGTGGGAAGGATGGGCAACTCCCAGGTTTCCAGCACAGCGGGTAGGTAGGTAGGTAGGTAGGTAGGGGACCATGAGGCCAGAGCAGTGGGCAGGAGGATCAGGGAGCCTTCCATCACATGGGCGCTGCTGGGTCCTCTGAGACCTGAGCGGGTGTCTTCAGGACGTGACATCTCTCCCCTGAGCCCTTAACACAGTGTTCCAGACACGCTAACTCGTTCTCCAAATGGAAGATAAGCTGACCCGAAGGCCATGTATTATATTTAATGGAAAAGATCACCAAAAGCCAGAGGGAGCCATGTATCTTCCGAGAGCTCCCTTTGTCATTCATTTAATTGCACTACTACAAGCTGCATGTCCTCGAGGTGGAAGCTGTCGCTAATCTGGTCTTTCTTCTGTTTTTAAGGCCCAGGCTCCCCCGTGAGAATGGCGAGTGCTGCCCTGGCCTCCGTGGGCTGCTTGGCCGTATTTGTCACTGTGGTCGCCCTGGTGGTGTACAAGTAAGTTGCTGGTTCTAACACTTTCCATCACTGTGGCACATTGTTGAAAATAAGTAGCAATGTGCTGCGCAAATGGGCCATTTTCCCCTTTTTGGCTTTTAACCATTTTGTGTGTAGGAGGAAAATCTTCCATTGAATGATGAATACCAAACTAGCCTGTTGATTTTGCTGTGGTTTGTTGTGTGTGTTTTTTTTAATCCAAACAACGCTACCAGATGTCAGCAACTTAGCAAAATTGTGTCAGCTCAATATTTAACATGGAAGCTCAAATTATAATAAACAGGCACATGTCTTGCATGAAGAAGAGGAAATAAACATATTTCCAAAAGACATCCGTGTCTTAGTAAAAGCCATAGATTAGGTAAAACAAAATGAACCCTTTTGTACTTGGGCGTGTAAAAGCTTGGGGAAAAGTAATATCTTCCAGGTGGGGATGTTTTAAAAATCTTTTTACACATTGCTTTTCAGAAAACGCAAGGAATACAAACCGATAGAAAACGGTGCTGGGATCAATGGCAAAGGCCTGAACGTTTTCCTGGAGCACGCAAAGGTCAAGTTCTCCCCCGGCAGCCAGGAGAAAGACCCACTGCTCAAGAACCAGCTGGGAATTCTTTAAACCTTCAGCCTGATTTCTGACCAACAGCTCGCTCTTCAGTGCCGTGTGTGTGAGCTGTGCTAGTGTAGAAGACTATCAACCTTTTTTCCTAAACATTACTGTAAAATATATACTGAGGTTTAGGGAGGTGTAATTTTTTTATAGGTTAAATGACATTATAGAGAAGTGGAGAGAAATTATATGGCGTGCAGCCTTGGCCGTGTTATGGAACTGATGGAGTCGGTCAGCCGTGCTTTCTTTCATTATGATTTATGTTTCACTTATAATGTATTAACATGATTAGTAGGATAGACATACTGTGTCCAAAGAGTAGGTGGAGAAGGTACTATTCATTAGAGTGACCAAGGTTGCCTGGAAGGCGAGGCTGGACGCTTTCTAGCTTCCCATATACACACATGCATACAATCAATGCACTGTACTCCTGTCCCTAAGACCACGTTCAGTTACCTGTTCCCAGGGAACTGAAGCCTATTTCAGTGAGCACGCATGAGCTCCCAACAGAACAAAGGCCGAGCCTCTACTATGATGCAGATGCTTGTTACAC